CCCCCCCCACCACCACCACCAATAAAATGACATTATTTGCTCAAACACAATAGAAATTAACTGGTTAAATAGACGAATGCAACTCTCTTGTTATCTTTAGGCAACTTTGACCTGATTTAAAAATTTACAATGTCATATTTGTATGTTTAAGCATAATTGCTGAAAATGAAATGCAGGGTTTTAGAACATAATCCCCCCAATGTAATGTTAGACCTAAAGTTACACCCTTGCAGTCACATCCATCATATTTGTTAGCGATGCAGTTTTGTTTGCATCGATAAACAAACCTCTGTTCTCTAGAAACAATGCTGTTCACGCAGAAAATTACAAAACGGCCCATTGCAATCTCTAACTGGAACCTAAAGTGTGGGTATGTAGAAGAATGCTTATACCATTTCACAGCAATACAAGATTGTACATTTTATTTTATTAATCATTAAAAGAGGAAATATGAATTTGGAAATTCTCAATTTTGGTCAAAATAATAACCTAAAAAAAAACATCATGGTCATGGTAAAATGGTCTTGCGTCATATTAAGTTTCTGAGCTTCTTACCCCATATATACCATCCCATAACCTCATATCCTTTACTAAATGATTCCTTTTCATGCCCAGAGTTTGACTGGTGACAGAAGGAGGAAGGGCTTTTATAATCAGGGCTCCCAGTTTATGGAATGCTGTCCCACTAAATATTAAGCAGGCCACCTCATTGTCTTCTTTTAAATCATTACTTAAAGCTTATAATAAGACTCTTAATAATTAAATTTCTTTTGTATTTTTATTTTATTATTATTCAGTGTTACATTTTTAGATATTTTGACTGATTTGGTATACATTTTGTGTTTCATGCTGTGTATTTTATGATGTTTTAATTAATTCTTGAATATACATTTGTTTAAAAAGTCACAAGTTGAAAATGAAATAAAAAGTTAAAGTCATGTTTTTTTTTTTTTTTTTTTTTTTTAATTTGTTGATAGGTTGCAATTAATGAAGTGTAAATAAATAACTGTGTGTTTTGGACCTTGCAAATAAGCTGCTCAGATTCACCTGACCGCAGTGGTTCTGTCAGAGCGTCCTCTCTGATGGTCACACTGGACGTTCTCTGTCTCCCGGTGGAAACAGCCGTGTTTCAGACAAAGTGCCTTTGTTGCTGTAGGACCTGCTCGTACCAGCTGTGCAGTATCAGCGAGTGTTCTCTCTGCAGGCAGCCATCAGCAGAGACGAAAACACACTCTTTTCCTGTAATTCACCAGGGAGAAATAAAATACAGCAAGGGCCTTTTTCTTTTGAAAACAGATTACACAAAACTCATTTCAGAGTTGGGCAACTCGTGTGTCCAATGTTGTTTCTTTATTCCTGTGAGTGACTTTCGAACGCATCAGAGCAAACCTGCATATCATGCCTGCCCACCCCCACAGCTTGGTCATGGTGCTGAGAAACCAGACACGTCTTGTGACCAGATCTGCTGAGCTGTCAGAACTTCATCTGAAATACCATCTCTGTGTCATGTTTTTTTATCTTTCTTCTAACTGTGAGGGACGTCTGCCTCTGGGCTTTGACAGAACGTTTCACTGATCTCTCATCAGTCAGTCGCTCTGTGTTCTGATCAGTTGCTGCTAAACGAGGCTTCAGTATGTCTGCAAGGAGAAAAAAACAGCATGCTTCTTGGGGTGTTGCTGGTTTGCCTCTATGATTATTTACTTAATGCTAAGTTGGCTCAACCCTCCTTCACACTGCTTTGTAACCGTTTTTGCTTTCCCTTCACAATCACATCTTTAAGCAGAGAACTCTAATTGAAGGCTATACAAGGTGCAACCAGCATAAAACTTAACAACTTAAGTTTAAATGATTGAACAGTTTCCTAAAAAAAGCCTAAATCACAGGCATAACAAGTTCTATATGGTAAGTTAAAACATATGAGCTTGACCCTCTAGAATAAAAAAAAAAGAAAACATAACTGAAAACACGGGGGAAATACTGAAATTCTCAGAGGGTGAAGTCATCGAGACTTTACTATTATTAGACCAATCTAATCTGTGTTGAAGCAGCGGGGAGTTAAACTTTGGCATCATGTCCATGCTGGATGGGTCAGCTGTAAAATGTAAATATGCAAAGGGATGTAGAGAAGCCTGAAGCTTTGTTTCTCAGTGGTAAAATGGTGAAATGGTTGGGAGTGAGTCAGTGTCTTAGGAGGTGTTCAACCATCTGGAAGTCTTATACATGAGGGGTGACAGGATAAAGATGGATAGATGGATCAGGGCCTTGGAAGCACCTGAACTGAAAGGTGAAAGTCTTGATTTACTGGTTCATCTATGTCCCATCCTTCACTTATGTTTATGAGATGTGGACTATGACCAAAAGAATGACATTCCAGATACAAATGGCTGAAATGAGCTTTCTCCCAGCGTGACTCAGCCTTAGAGACAGGATGAGGGTCTCCATCGTCCATGGGCAGCTGAAGAGTAGAGCTTATGCTCCTTCTCATAGAAAGGAGTCAGCTGAGGTGGTTTGAGCATCTGATTAGAATACTGTACCTCCTTCTAGAGGTATTTCTGGGCACATTCCACTGGGAGGAAACCCCAAAGCAGATTCAGAAGTTGCTGGAGGAATTACATATCCTCTTTGTTTTGGGAACAACTTGGGATCCCCAAGAAAAAAAATCACTGGGGAGAGGGACGCTCTCCTCGATATGTTGCCTCCACGACTTGGTCTTCTATAGAACAAAAGATGGATGGACAGACAATCATTCAAATGCTTTTTTAAAACAAGTTTAAAAACACTTTTTAAATTTCCAACAGTCCAGTTTTATATATTTCTTCATTCAAGTTCCTTACCAGTAGAACTATAAAAAAAAAACCAGCCAAATAAGTGACCCTGTTTCCTGTTCCATCTTTTGTTCTTGCAGTGATGCACAACTGCATTGGCTGTTCCTTTACAGTTATTGTCCCACATACACTAAAGACTGCAGAATGATAAATGTCCTTGATTCCAAGAAGTTTTAGTTGGTTCACATCTCGATACCATCCAGCAGAATACCTTCACAGCAAACAGCCAAATGTCTGGTGACTGTGATTGTCTAATTGATTATCTACACGCCTGTATTAATTCAAATCTCGTACGACAAAACATTAAATGTACCTTTTCGATGTTCTCTTACAGGTCAAAGGACTCTCCAGCACACGAGTGATGTCTTAGAGACTGTGGTGCTTGTCAACCCCTCAGAAGACACTGTTGTGTCAGAGGTGAGGTCAACATAATTTAGACTAAGGTGCAGTATTCTGGTGCTTTTTGTAAACCCAATTCCAATGAAGATGGGCCATTGTGTAAAACATTTAAAACAATATGATGATTTGCAATTTTTTTCACTCTATGGCTACGTTCACACTGCAGGTCTTAATGCTCAGTTCCGATTTTTTGAAAAAATCCGATCTTTTTGTGTGAACGTTCACATTACATTTT